CCTTTAAGCACGACATGGCCGCCACCGGCCGGCCTGCTCCCGCCCTCTGCCGCATGCGCAGTGCGGGGCGCGCAAGATGGCGGCGGCGGCGGCGCTGTGCCGGGCCTTCGGGGCGCTCGCGGTGTCGGCACCTCGTGCGGCCGTCGCCCGGGCCCTTCTGCCGCCGCCGCCGTTTCCTCCCGGCGGGGCTCTGGCGGCCGCCCGGCGCGGGCTGTGCGGCTCCACGCCGCTCTGCACCACGGACCCCATGTGGAAGTGCCGCGTCAAGTACACGGTGCGGCCCGTGGGCATGAAGAAGACGGGCGGCCGCGATCACACAGGTGGGAGGGCTAGGCCAGGGGACGGCGGGAGGGACGGCCGAGGGGGCGCGGCTGGAACCGCTCTCCCGGCCCGCAGGGCGCATCCGAGTGCGGGGCATCGGCGGGGGACACAAACGGCGGTACCGCATGATCGACTTCCAGCGGCTGCGGTACGACGAGGGCACTGAGAAGGTCATCGCCGTCCGATACGACCCTTGCAGGCGAGTGCTGGGTCGGGCGTGCTTCGTCTGCAGCACACGGACTGCGGGGAGCTGAGGGAACAGGGGCTGTTCGGTCTGGATAAGAGGCGGCTCAGGGCAGACCTCGTGGCTCTGCAGTGACCCGAAAGAAGGCTGTGTGAGGCGGGGTCGGCCTCTGCTCGCAGGGAACGGCCGTAGGACGAGAGGGGGTGGCCTCACGTTGTGCCAGGGGAGGTTCGGGTTGGCTGCTAGGAACAATTCCTTCTCCAGAAGTGATTCTGCACTGACACAGCTGCCCAGGGAGCGGTGGGGTCACCTGGAGGAGTCCCAGAGCCATGGGATGTGGCACTGAGGGACGTGGGCAGTGGCACGGTGGGGTTGAACTGGGTGACCTTAGTGGGCTTTTCTGGAACTAATGATTCTGTGGTTATGGGCTGACAGATAGACTTTGTGTCCTCTGTTTTTTTCCAACCTTAATGAGCCTGTGATTCCACGTGCAGGTCAGCTGACATTGCCCTGGTAGCTGGTGGCAATCAGAAGCGCTGGATCATCGCCACAGAGAACATGCAGCCCGGGGACCTGATCAAGAACTCCTCCCACATTGGAAGGATGGCAGGTGTGTCCCCAACCCCAAGCCAGCCCTGCCTGCAGCCTGTGAGTTGCCTCGCTCCAGCTCACAGCTTTGCCTTGCAGTGTTGGCCAAGGAAGGGGACGCCTACCCGCTGGGAGCCCTGCCTGTGGGCACGCTCATCTGCAACTTGGAGAGCCACCCTGGGAAGGGAGCGCAGTACATCCGGGCTGCCGGTGCGTCACACAGGGGGTTGCTGTCTTCTCCCTGCATTTGGGTGCAACACAGCCCTCTAAAGGGGTGGAACAGTGCTTCCTGATGATGCCCCCGAGGCTTCTTCCTCAGAAAGAGGTGGCAGTGGCTTTAGGGCTTTGTCCCACTGCTCAGCACAGCTGCCTCCTCTCACCTGCTGCAGGGACCTGCGGAGTGTTGCTGAGGAAGGTAAACGGGACGGCCATCGTGCAGCTGCCCTCCAAGAGACACATGCAGGTGGGGGAGCCGTGCCGTCCCCATCCTGACAACCCGGGTGCCAGCAAGGAGGCTCACAGCTCTTTTCCATCCTCCAGGTGCTGGAGACCTGCGTGGCCACAGTGGGCCGCGTGTCCAACGTCGACCACAACAAGCGGGTGATCGGAAAGGCCGGCCGCAACCGCTGGCTGGGCAAGCGCCCGCACACAGGCTTATGGCATCGCAAGGGCGGCTGGGCTGGCCGTAAGATCAAGCCGCTGCCACCCATGAAGAGCTACGTCAACTTGCCCCGCATCACAACACAGTAGTGAGGCCAGGGCCAATAAAACGTTCTGCACACCAGCACTGTTATGTTACCGCTGCCCTTCCTGAGTGGGAGAGATGGGTGCTGGGCCAGACTGGCTGTAGCTGTCTGGAGCCTTGGTGGGCTTGGGGCCCCACAAAATCAGGTAGTCAGACGCTCTCCTGCCTGGACACTTAGAATCATAGAGTCTTATGAGTGGAAAGGGACACTTAAAGGCCATCTATTCCAACTCCCCTGCAATCTACAGCTCAACCAGGTGCTCAGAGCCCCATCCAATCCAACCTTGAGTATTTCCAAGGCTGGAACTTCCACCACAGCTCTGGGCAACCTGGCCCATTCACCACCCCTATAAAAAAAAATCTTTTTTCCTTGCATCCAGTCTAAACCTCTTTTTTTAGTTTGAAACCATATTTCCTTTGTCCTATCACATTGTCCTAAAGCTGAAGAGTCTTTCCCCTCCTTTCTTACACCCCCTAGTCAGGTACTGAAAAGCTGCTTTTAGGTCTCACAGAGCCTTCCCTTTTCCAGGCTGCACAGCCCAGCTCTCAGCCTGTCCTCACAGGGAGGTGTTCCATCCCTGGATCATTTTTGCAGCTCTCCTCTGCACACTCTCTGACAGCTCCATGTCTCTCCTGTACTGAGCACTCCCCATCTGGCCACAGTGCTCCAGATGAGGTCTCAGAGCAGAGGGGCAGATCCCCTCCCTCACCCTGCTGGCCACACTGCTTTGGATGCAGCCCAGGATGTGGTTGGCTCTTTGGGCTGTGAGGGCACAGTGCTGGCTTACATCCAGCTGTCATCCACCACTATTGCTGGGTCTTTTTCAGCACGGCTATGCTCCATTCTTATATCCTCATTTTGTACCGATAGTCAGGGTTGCCACAGCCCAAGAACAAGACCTTGCACTTGGCTTTGCTGAACCTCGTGGGCTTCTCCTGGGCCCCACTGCTCAGCCTGTCTAGTTCTCTGTGATGGCATCCCATCCCTTGGGTGTGTTCACCACACCACACAGCTCAGTGTCACCTGCAAACTGCCGAGGGCACTCTCGATCCCACTGACTCCATGTCACTGATGTTAAAGGTGGCAGATATTGACCCCCGAGGGACCCTGATTGGCACTGATCTTCATCTGGACACTGAGCCGCTGAGACCAGTTCCTCATCCATTGAATGGTTATCTTTCCAACTTGGAGAGAAGGATGTTATGGAGGACAGCATCAGTGGCCTTACTGACATGCAGCTGGATGACATCAGTGGCTCTCCTAATGCAGGCCTCTGATGCAGAAGGCGTCTAGGTCGGCCAGGTAGGACCTGCCCTAGGCGAATCCTTCCCGTAGGACGGACTGGTTGGAAGGTGCTCCAAGGCACCTCCTCGGTCCTACCGCCAGGCACGGTCCGGCAGCCCCGCCTCCCAGCCAGCCGTCACAGAACAGGACCGATGCAGCAGCCGAGCCGACGAGGCGCTTCCGAGGACTCTCGGCCCCGCTCGGCTCCCGTCGGCACAGCCCGCCGCGCACGCCCCAGCCCCCCCGCCCATCCGGAAGCGGCGCCTAGCCGGGCTGGGACGGCGGCCGCAGACCATCCGGTGGCGGCGGGGCGATCGCGCCCCCTGGCGGGCGGGCGGACACGCCGCGCCGCTCCCCGCGTCCCTCGGCGCTCCCCGCAGCGCCGTCCGGCAGCATGGTGAACGAGAGGCCCGAGGGCGGGCTGCTGGTGCAGCTGGGCCCCCAGCTGCAGGCCTACCCGCAGGAGCTGCTGCGGCAGCGGCGCGGCCCCGACGGCGCCCCGGAGTACCTGGTGCGGTGGCGCGTGGTCGGCGCGGAGGAGCGGGCGGCGGGCGGCGGCGGCGGCGGCTCCACCTCCACCGCAGGGCTCCGCTCGGAGAGCGTGGCCATGTGGCTGTCGGCGGAGGAGGTCCGCGCCGGCTGCCCGGCGCTGCTGGGCGAGGGGCAGCGGGCGGGGCCGCGGGCGGAGGAGGAGAGGGCGCCCGGCCCGCCGCCCGCGGCGCCGGACGAGGCGTCGCTGCTGGAGATGAAGGCCGACGTCGGGAGCCTGGTGCGGCGAGCCGGCCGGCAGCTGGCCGGCGGCGGGGCCCCCGCGTCCTCCGTCCTCCACACCGTCCGCGTGCTGAGCGCGTACGCCGGCATCGGCGCGCTGGCGGGCGCCTTCGAGGAGACGGGAGCCCTCGAGCTGCTGACGGAGATGCTGTGCCACGAGGAGAAGGCGATCTGCCGCGGCGCCGGCGAGATGCTGAGGGCTCTGGCTTCGCACGACGCAGGTGGGGCTGCCGCCGAGGGCGCCGCTCCTTCGGTAGGGCGGGGGCTCGGGGAGCGGGGCCTTGCGGGGCCGTTGGCTCTGCCATCGTCGGCGTGGAGCCTCTCCTGGGGCCGCACTGAGCGGAGGCTGATCCTGCCCGAGGCTCTCATCAGAGAGGAGCTGCCGTGGCTCGGAGGTGCCTGATGTGTTGGGTTATCCTGAGCAACAAAGCCGATCCTTGCCTGCTGCAGTCAGGCTGATTGGTGCAGCGAGGTGTGAGGGTTCTCTGTTAGAGAGCCTAAATGTTTTCTGTTGTTGTTGCAGGGAGCTGGGCTCATGTACTTCTGTCTCTGAGCCAGCAGGATGGCATCGAGCAGCACATGGATTTTGACAGCTGTTACACCTTGCTGGAGCTGTTTGCTGAGACAACATCCTCTGAAGAGCACTGCGTGTCCTTTGAGGGCATTCATCTTCCTCAGGTAGTGACAGTGGGCAGCAGGCCAGGACTTGGCATTGTAAGGGCTGGCGCAGGGTCTGGGCCTGGCTCGAGGCTGAGGTGCAGTGAGGAAGCAGGAGGAGAGCCTGTCTGTGGGCAGGGTGGGCTGAGGGGAGCTGTGTTGCTGCCCGCTGGTGCACAGGCATTGCAGAGCTGTGAATGAGCTGGTGAGGGAGTGAGGTGCTTGGCCAGCTGCGGTCTGACAGCCCTGCCTGTTGCAGATCCCCGGGAAGCAGCTGTTCGCCCTGGTGAAGCGCTACCTGTGCGTCACTTCTCTCCTGGACAAGCTCAACAGTGGCGAGGAGCAGAGCGAGGAGCGGCAGAAGAGCAGCCGTGTGAAGCAGGAGTTTGAGTTCAGCATGGCTATGGCAAACCTCATCTTGGAGCTGGTGCACGTGATGGGCTGGGACCACAGCCACAAACCGGAGCCACCATCCCAGCAGGAGACGAAGCCTCGCACCTCCCGCTCCATCTTCCAGCACCAGCCCACATCCTCCAGTGCTGCTCCAGCAGCCCCTGCTCCTGCACCAAATGAGCCCAGCACCTTTAAGACACGCTCGGCCTTCCCAAGCCGCAGCAGCTATGTGGAGTATGTGCAGGCAAACCTGATGCACGGCATGCGGGTGCGCATGCTGGAGGACTATGAACAGGTCGGCGCAGGTGATGAGGGTGAATTTCGTCAGAGTAATGATGGCACGCCGCCTGTGCAGGTATCTGCTGCTGGGAGGATGGGGCTGTTGGGGGACATTGTGTGGTATGGAAAATACCTTAGCCTTGTGTGGGAGCAGCGGGGCTTGCCATGCATTTCCTCAGTCATGTGTGGTTTTGGCTCTCCTCTGCAGGTGTACTGGTATGCCTCGGGCTGCACGTACTGGGTTCACTGGCACATGGTGGAGATCATTGGCTCTTCTGGGCAGGAGGAGCATGAGGGCCGAGAGAAGGTGTCCGCTCTGAGATACAGCCACAAGCTGGTAGCAGGTAAGCATCAGGCCAGGTGGACACGCAGCTTATTCTCAGATCCAGGTCTAGGGGGAATAATTTGGCACAACAGGTGCCTAGTTGTGGCCCCAAGAGGCTTCAGAGAAGACTGCAGTCCCCACCTGCCCCACTCCAGGGCTCTGCTTCCAGCTCTGCTCCCTGCCTCTTGCTGCCCTCTTATCACCTCCCTGTCCCTCACTGGGACGGATCGGGGAGGTCCTCACTGTGGGAGTGAGGGCTGTGCAGCAAAGGATGGCTCTGCGGAGGGAAGCTGACGGTGCCTTTCCTCTCTCTGCTGTCCTGCAGCTGCACAGCCGCTTTTCTCCAAGCCCCCGGGGGGGCTGTACTCGCTGCCTTACCTGGGGGAGCGGCCGAGCAGAGCCGCAGCGACCCTGAGCCGCGCTGAGTGGTGGGAGCTGCTCTTCTTTGTGAAGAAGCTGGAAGCGCAGGAGCAGGAGGAGATCGTCCGACTCATCCAGCGGGAGCGCGCTGAGCAGGTGTGGGCCGGAGCGGCTCGGGGAAGGCCGAGGGAGCGGGCGCGCGGTGCTGGGGAAGGGTCTGGGGCTCTGTGTCGGTGCAGCGCCTCTGTCTGGTTGGACCCGGGCCGTCCCAGGGGCGCGGGGTCCGTCGTGTGTCCGTGCGGGTTGACGTATCTCCATCCATGCAGCTGTCGGAGCCGGCCGAGGACGCCCTGCTGCAGCTGCCGGTCCCTGCGGAGCTGGCCCAGAAGGTGCTGCAGGACCTGGAGAAGCGGCTTCGGGGCAGCGCTCAGAGCGAGCTGCGCGGCTCCCGTGTGTACGCCGAGCACGTGGGGAGTGCGGCCGAGCAGCGCGGCGGGGGCGGTGCCACGGCGTGCTCAGAAGGCGATGAGCCCGGAACTGTGCCGGCCGAGGTGGCCAAGGAAGAGCTTTCCGCAGCCGCGGCCCTCAGGTCGGATTCCCAGCTGTTCCGTGAGCTCCTGGAGAGGGAAGGGCTGCGCTTCTCGCGGGCGGCGGAGCGGAGCGAAGGTGAGGGCCCGACCGAGGGAGGCTGCGGGCGCGGGAGGTGGCCCGGGGGAGGAGGCCGGCGGGTGCCGGGGCTGCGGGCCCATCTCTGGGAGCTGCCTCGGGTGCTGCTGGCGATGTCGCAGCCTCCCTCCCTCCTGCAGCGTGGGGCGGCAGCGAGGGCGGCTGCCTGGCCGAGGTGCGGCGCGTGGCGGACGCGATCCTGCGTGGTGACTGCGAGGCGGAGCTGCGCGCGGCCGGGCTGCGGCACGTGGTGAAGGTGCTGGAGGAGGACCGGGAGCAGGAGCGGCACTGCAGCGAGGCCCAGGGCGGGCCGGGGACCAGGTGCGGGGCTGAGAGGGGCGGCTCTCGCGTCTCTGTGCCCCAGGTGGGCTCGCGTGGGGCGATCCGAGCGCGGTGGGGTGGCGTGGGCAGGAGAAGGCGGCTCTGGGGGTCCCTGCTGAGGTGCCCTCGGCCACGCAGGGAGAAGCTGGTGAAGGCGGTGGTGGAGCTGCTGGGCGCTGAGGAGGCCGAGTCGTGCCTGGCGGCGCTGGTGCTGCGGCTGGTGGCGCTGCTGATGGAGAGGTGTGAGTGGTGCGTGCCCTTCGCCACAGAGGGAGGTGTGCGGGCGGTGCTGGCCTGCATGCGGCAGCACGCGGCCTCGGCCCTGGTGCAGCAGGCCGGCCTGGCGGTGAGTGCGTGCGGGAGCTCAGGGGTTGGCGGGGCCCGCTTTGGTGCCCGCCGCCTGCTGAGCCGCTGCGGGCCATGCAGGCCCTGAAGGTGCTGGTGGGAGCCGGAGGTGCCGGTGGAAAGCCGTCGATGCTGAGCCACGCCGACGCGCAGATGATGCGGGAGATCTTTGCCAGCATCGGCTCTGCCTGCGGCGAGGGCTCACCCGGCCTGCTGGCTGCCATCCCCGCTGCCATCCGTGCCATGCAGGGCGTGCCAGGGTAGGGACGGGGCTGGGCGAGTCCTGGGGAGCTGCGCAGCTGGGGAGGAAGGCGCCCACACGGCCGCATCCCCGCAGGGGCTCCTCGGGCGTGCAGAACGGGCTGCTGGTGGTGAGGATGCTGGTGGATGGGCACCGAGGCCTGGCGGAACAGCTGGTGGGCTGTGACCTCCATGTGGTGCTGCAGAGCTGCTGGCGGGCCGGGCAGGACGCCGGCTGCCCCAACGCCATGCTGGCCCTGGGCGTCATCAACCGCCTGGCGGAGCACCGGCTGTCCTGCAGCCCTGAGATGCCAGGTACTGCGCAGGCGGCCCTCCGTGCCACGGCCCCGCAGGCGGGGGCTGAGGATCCCATCCTATGCTGCCTGTCCCACAGGCACCGAGGCCCTGCTGCTGGAGGCGAGGGAGGCACGGGTGCCCGCAGGCGGCCTATGGGATGGCGCGCTGCCCGAGGACGTGGTGGTGGCCCTGGAACGGCAGCTCTGTGGCGTGGCCGCCATGCCTGCGGGTGAGGCATCCCGGCAGCTGCAGGAGCGCCAGTGCTTCCATCCGCTGCTGCGCAGCCTCGAGCTGCCGGGGGTGGAGAAGGCCATGGGGCTGCGGATCCTCAGGTGGGGCTCGGTCAGAGTGTGGGAGCCCAGGGCAGGGCCGCCTCGTGCCCCAACCTGAGCGTCGCCGTGTGTCATACAGAATCCTGAGCGTGTTCCTGGACGGTTACCGGGAGGATGCGCTGCCCTGGCATGAGTGCGTGGAGCCGTGCCTGTCCTTCCTGAGCGCCCACAGCAGCGACCGTGAGGTGAGAGGGCCGCGGTGCTCCCGGGGGCAGGGAGGGCTGTGCTGCGTGCCGCCGGCTCAACACCGCCGTGTTCCCACAGGTGGTGCAGGAGGCGGTGGGCTTCCTGCACCGCCTGGCTACCACCAGCAAAGACTGCGCTGTGGGGATGTGCCGTGCAGGTGCCCGTGAGGCTGTGGCCAAAGCCCTGGACAAGCACGGCCCGGCCCTGCCGCTGGCACCGGCCCTGCTAGAGCTGGTGAGCGACTGCGAGAGGCACGCCGCGCTCTACAAGAAGCTGACGGGCAGCATCTTGGCCGGCTGCATCCAGGTGGGCTGGGTATCCAAGCTACCCGGCTTGGGGTGAAGGATGCGGCCCCCACTGACGGCATGGCCCCGTCCCCATCCCCAGGTGGTGCTGGGGCAGATTGAGGAGCACCGCCGCATCCAGCGGCCCATCAGTGTCCCCTTCTTTGACATCTTTCTGCGCAACCTGTGCCGAGGTGAGCGCGAGTGGGAGCCGGGCCCCGTGCCGGTGTGCGTCCCAGCAACAGCTGGAGGCTGCGTGTGCTCTCCCTGCAGGCTCCAGCGTGGAGGTGAAGGAGGACAAGTGCTGGGAGAAGGTGCAGGTCTCCTCCAACCCGCACCGCGCCAGCAAGCTGACGGACAGGAACCCCAAGACCTACTGGGAGTCGAACGGCAGCACCGGCTCCCACTACATCACCATCCACATGCAGTGCGGGGTGGTGGTCAGGTAGGGCTGTGCGGGGAGGAGATGGCTGCGGGGCTCCACGCGTGCTGTCCCTGAGGCCCCCCGCTCGGGCTGCTGGACGTGGGTGGGGGCTGCGGGGCAGCTCTGTGTTTGCCTCGCCGCAGGGAGATGAGCATGCTGGTGGCCAGCGAGGACTCGAGCTACATGCCGGCCCGCGTGGTGGTGCTGGGAGGGGACAGCCCCGCTGATGTCCGTACGGAGCTGAACGCAGTGAGTTGCACCGGTGCTGCTGGGCCGTGAGGTGATCCCGGCCGTGGCTGCACAAGGGCTGACCGGGAGTGCGAGGGTGGCTGCTCTCACTGCCCGCGCTGAGAGCTGCCGTGTGCCCGCAGGTGACCGTCCTGCCCTCGGCCAGCAGGGTGGTGCTGCTGGAGAACATGACGCGTTTCTGGCCCGTCATCCAGATCCGGGTGAAGCGGTGCCAGCAGGTGGGAGCTGCGGCCAGCCTGGGGCATGGCAGTGGGTGTCAGGGGTGCACCGGGAGCTCAGGGTTGTGCTTTTCCATAGGGTGGCATCGACACGCGTGTGCGTGGCATCGAGGTGCTGGGGCCCAAGCCCACCTTGTGGCCCATCTTCAAGGAGCAGCTGTGCCGGCGCACGTTCCTCTTCTGCAGTGCTCGGGCGCACGCCTGGTGCCAGGAGATCCACCAGGATCGGGGACAGCTGCTGCAGCTCTTTGGCAAGTGAGTGGTGCGTGGGCTGTGCTGTCTGTCCCTGGGGTCCCGAGGCGGCAGGGGTGGTGCAGGCAGCCCGCGGGGGCACCGTGGGGCTGAGTCCTGCCCTGGGAGGAGTGGGGCTGCGGCAGTCTCCCGCCTGCTGAGGGGCGGGGCTGGGAGCGATCCCCGTCGCCCCCTGGCCTGGCGAGGCGGTTCCGTGTGCGGTCGGTGGGCGTTTGGTGCTGTCCCGTGCTGCCCCCTGTCCGTTTCAGGCTGAACCGGGCATTACAGCACGAGCAAGACTTCGCCGACCGCTTCCTTCCCGATAACGAGGCGGCCCGAGCCCTGGGCAGGGCGTGCTGGGAGGCCCTGGTGACCCCCGTGGTGCAGAGCATCACCAGCCCAGGTACCGCCGTCCTCCCGGACCCTCCCCGCAGTGCCCGAGGCTCCCCCTGAGTCTCTGCGTCCCGGCAGACTCGAGCGGCATCAGCCCCCTGGCCTGGCTGCTGGGCGAGTACCTGGGGAGCGCAGAGCAGTCCCGCGGTGGCGCCTTCGGTTCCTGTGTGCGGCGCCTGACCCAGCTCCTGGTGCACGTGGACCCGGGCGCAGAGCCGGCGGAGGCGGCAGCGGCCGGTGAGCGCAGGGCCGCCTTCGTGCGGGGCCGGGCAAGGGGCGGCGGCGTGCGGGGCTGAGCCTCGGCCGTGCCTTGGCAGGCGGGAAGGAGGGCAGGAACAAGGAGGCGCCAGCCCGGGTGGCTGTGGCAGAGAAGTCTGGCTGCCTGCGGGACGCGGTGCGGTGCTGGCATGGCGTGGTGCAGCGGCAGGTAGGGCGCGGGGCTGTGGGTGCCGGCTGGGCCCGTGTCGGTCCCGCTGCAGCTCACCCCTCGGCCGTGCCCGCAGGTGCAGCAGTTCCTGGAGATGTCGGGGCAGGCACCGGACGTTGTGGAGCGGTACTGCGCGCTGTACCGGCGCCTGCGTGGTGCCACGGAGGAGCTCTTCGGGCAGCGGGCCGCCTTCGTGGCAGCCCTGGGCCAGGGCGTCGCCGGGGCTCTGCAGCGACTCTCCTTCCTGACCGCCCTGCATGTGAGTCCAGGGCCCAGTGTGGCCCTTGCCGGCGCCTGTGCCCAGCTGCAGGCACACAGCCCGGGTGTGCTCGCTGCCTGGGCCGGGTCACCGTGTCCCCTTCCGAGTGCCCCGGGGCTCCCTGTGGTCCCTGGGTCCCCACTGCGGCCGCCCCGTGCCCACGTGTCCATTCCCGTTCCTGCACAGGTGAGCGAGCGGTTCGCCCGCTACCTGGACAGGAAGGTGCAGGAGCTGCACGGGGCCACGGGCAGCACGGGGCAGCTGCAGCAGATCCTGGAGCCCTTCGTCATCTTTGGTGGCCTGGAGTTCGCCCACACCTTCGAGCACTTCTACCAGTGAGTGCACTGCCCCTGCTGTGCCTTGGGGAGGGAAGGGCCACGGGACCGCGGGGCTCCATGGCCCTGCAGGGGCCTGTCCTGGCTGTGGTGGGGCCGGCAGCCGCATGGCTGAGGCAGCCTTTACCCATGGCTGTGGCAGGCTGTACCTGGGGGACCGGCTGCTGTCACGGGGGCCGTCCTGGCTGGAAGGGGCCGTGGTGGAGCAGATGGGGCCGTGCTTCCCCCGCCGCTTCCCCCAGGAGATGCTGAGCAACCTGGCAGAGTCGGAGGAGCTGCGGCGGCTCTTCCGCCTCTTCCGGCTGCAGGAGCGAGACCGGCGGCTGCTGGAGTGTGGCCTGGGTGCAGAGAGCCCCAAGGCTGAGGTGAGGGGCAGAGGGCTGGGGCCGGGGGCTGCCCCGTTCTGGCGGGGTCCCAGGCCCGTCCTGAGCCGCCCTCCGTCCCCAGGCTCCAGGGGAGGCCTCCACAGCAGATACACTGGAGGTGGAGGTGCTGGTGCTGTCCCCACGCTGCTGGCCTATGTCCCCGCTGTGCTTCATGGAGGAGCCCCGGAGGTTCTTCCCGGCGGCGCTGAGCTCCCTGCTGGATGAGTTCACAGCCTTCTGGCAGCACAGTGAGTGTGGTGGATGTGGGGTCAGGGCTCTCAGCCAGCAGTGCGGGGGCACCGGGAGCGCCTGCGAGGCTGACGCTGCCCTGGCAGGCCAGAGCCGGCTGGGCTGGGGGTGTGCGAGGCCCCGGTGGCTGCAGTGGACGTGGCTGGGCCACGCTGAGCTGTGCTTTGGAGACTGCGTCCTCCACGTGTCCACGCTGCAGATGTACATCCTGCTGCGCTTCAACAGCACTGAGGTAGGAGCCGGGGCCGTGGGGCCGGAGGGACGTGGCTGGTGCTGCCTTCTGGGGGGGCTTTCAGCAGTGTTTGTGGCAGGGATGTTCCTGCCTGGCCATCGCTCTCCGTTCCTCTGTAGGAGGTGGCAGTGGAGGCTCTGCTGCAGGCGACGGGGCTCCCTGCCGAGCTGGTGCACCAGGCCCTGGTCCCGCTGACCCACGGTGATGGCATCCTGGTGCAGAGCTGCACGCAGGGGGGTGAGTGTGGGGCTGGGTATCCCTGGGGCAGTGCTGGCCTGGCCCCACTGGTTGCCTCCTGGGGCTCCTTCAGGGACCAGCTCGGGGCCTGGCTGACCGTGGGCCGGGTGCAGCTCCAGGTGCCCTGCGGCTGAACCGGGCGGCCCTGGCCCATGCCTCTGGCCGCCAGCTGAGGCTGCTGCCCCGGCAGAGGTACCTGCGGGCAGAGAGGGCTGAGAGCAGTGCCTTGGAGTGGAAAAGGAATGTCCTCTGCTGCCTCATCACCCGCATCCTCAAGGCGGAAAAGCAGCTGCACATCGATAACCTGGTGTTTAAGGTACAGAGGCTGAAGGTTTGAGGGGCAGAGAGGGGCTGCCAGGTGATGAGTGAAGAGTGATGCGTTCTTGTGCTGCTGCAGGTGATCGATGCCTGTGAGAAGGGTGAGCTGGGGCCAGGCCTGCAGTTCCTGAGCTTCTGCTGTCACAGTGTGGACGTGCTGTCCTGTGTCCTGCACCTGCTGAACCAGGGCTACCTCCGGCGCCAGGATGAGAGGCCTCATGTCCTGGAGTACGTCTCTGCTGAGCCCCCACCAGCCCTATCCCAGGCCCAGGCCCAGGTTGCCTTCCAGACTGTAGAGATCAAGACAGCAGCAAACCCAGCCTCTGCTGAAAGGAGACAGACATTCTCCACCTTTCGGTAGAGAAGGACTGAGCTGGCAGGGCATGAGCTGAGCCCAGTCCATCACTTCTGGTGGACTTGGGGCTTTAGTGGGAATAAACAAGCTTGGCTGCACATCTGCTAACGTGTCGAGAGCTGCAGCTGACCCTGGGCTTGCGAGGAGAGATGTTACCCTCAGCCCTACCTACTGGAGGAGCAGTAGGAGCCAACCTGTCTTTGCATTGTTGCCCTCAGGCACAGAGGGAACTACACAGCCCTGCCATAATGGTACCAGCATTAATTTATTAAAATTAATCCTGAAAAGTAACCGTACAATAAATTTAAAAAAAATAGAATCTTGTAAAAAAAAAAAAAAAAAAAAAAGAAAAAAAAAAACCAACAAAAATCCAGGTGCCCCCATGCTATACCTCCAGCTGGCAGCACTGTGGGGCAGGGCTGGCCAGGACATGGACGTGACAGTGGCAGCAGCACTGGGGCTGCACAGGGACAGGGGAACTGCTGAGGCTCAGCCCCATGGGGCAGGCCCGGCAGCTTGGTCTGGTGAAGGGCAGGTGTGGGGGCCCTGCTCAGCACTGGCCCCCACCCTGCACAGCTCTGCTCTGGCTCCAGCGCTGGGATACTGCCCAGGCCCAGCCCAGCTGGGGCCCTGGCAGCTGCAGAGCTGGGGGAGAGGGGACCCAAAGCTCAGTCAGGCTCGTGGCCGGTGCCAGCCCTTGTCCCAGGCTGCTGTGGGGGGCAGGGGAGGCAGATGGCGTGGTGCCCTGGCTGGTAGCGGAGGATGCATGGACCCAGTCTCAGCGGCCTCACCTTCATGGATCTTGGCTCACAGGGAGTGGTGTGGGTGTGGTGTTCCCTCTTCAGGGCCATGGAACAGGGGCATGGGAGCACCTCTGTCTCTGTGCCTCCTCCCATAAACCCTCCACAGCTCTGCTTCAGGACTGCACCGCATCTCACACGCTCTTTGAGTAGCCGAAGATGCCCACGGGGAGGTACTTGACGTGTGTTGGCCACTGTGCTGCCAGCTGGAAAAACTTCACATCGTTCCATTCCACCCCATCTATAGAGACTGACAGGAGATAGCGCAGTAAGGCACAGCCCTACCCTGGGCAGCCAGGGCTGCCTGGCTGGGTGTCCTTAGAGGCTAATGTCTGTCCTCACCTCGCAGCATGGTGTTCTGGTGCTTGGCTGTGCAGATGAGGCGTGTGATCCCTTCGATGACTTGGCTTTTGGGTTCTAGGTCCTTCTCTTTTGGTTTCTTGCTCAGGAACATCACTGAGGGCCAGAGACACAATGCCAGTGTTAGCAGGTACCCACTGGGCAGTGGGTGGCAGCCCTCACCCCAGGGAAGGCTGCCTCCTCTCAGCCTGCCCTCCCACTGCCTTTGGTGCAACTGGCTGTGGCCCCGCACAGCAGAGCACCCCAGGATGGGTTTGGGAGTTACCTTTCTTGTTCTTCTCCTTGGTAACCACAGTCATGGCCATAGTGCTGGGTGGCACCAGCTCCCCGACGCCGGGGATGCGGCTGACCTGGAGCGAGCGGAAGTTGCTCTTGAGTGTGTTCTTGATGCCCGTCTCCCGCTTCTCGCCCTCCTTCTTCCTATCCAGCCCTTGTGTTGTCCAGTAGTCCACCTGCAGGCCCATCACCTCCACGCCAGGGCTCAGAGACCTGGAAAAGATGGGCAGCACCCCATGGCCCAGCTGCAGCCTGCCCTGGGAGCACACTGGCCCCATAACCCTAGTATGCAGCAGCCTGGCCAGAGAGCACCTCCAAGTCTCCTGCGCCAGCCCCAGTTCCTTACCCAGCACCTGAGAGGCCGCTGCTGACAGATGGGGAGGGTGGTGGGGTGCTCACAGTCTCCTTGCCATAGGGGGATGCACTGCCAGCAGCTGGCACTGAGCTCAGCAGCGAAGGGGTGCAGGCTGTGGCATCATCTGAGTCCACTGCAGAGGAAACGAGGGGTTCAGGGGGACACTGACGGGACCTCACCATGGTGAGGCACAAACGGGGGGCTCACAGGAACTCACCAGAGGCACTGAAGGACTGCTCCACCAGGCCCACCTTCACAACCTACAAGGAGAGACAAGTCAGATGGTCCCCAGTGCTGGTACCAGCAGGGCTGCGCACTGCCCCTTCTCCCCCTGGAGCCCAGCTGCCTGCTGGCTCCTCAACACACTTACCCCTACAAAGGGTATGAACTTCTGGCAGGAATCCTCATCAGGGCTGCACAAGGAAGAGAGGCTGGTGAGGGGCTGGGCACGCCTGCCATGCTGGCCAACCTAGTAGTCCTGGGACCCCCACGCCGGCAGGGGCCAATGCTGGCTCCTGGCCACCAGGACCCTCTTTCTCTGCCCTCCCTCCCATGGGACTCCCTGTCCCCGACATGGCAGCACAGGGCACACTACACAAGGAGGCAAGGAGTTGGCTCCTCTGGTGCTGGGAGAGGCTGGCATGCGGGAGGGCAGCCCTGCCCCGTTTTGGGGCCATGGCTCCTCTGCACAGCACAGGGGGTGGACGCACATAGGAGGGGGGAGGGAGGGCCAGGCAGCGGCACAGCAAGCACAAGCCAATACCTGATATAAAAATCAAAATAGAGACTTCTCTTCCTTGGGTGCCAGAAACCAAGAGAAGGGAGAGGTGAGAGTGCAGCCGGAACACGAGCGTCAACCCCCGGGCAGCACAGCGCTGGCTGGCGGCCCTCAGCCCAGCCCAGGTGGTCAGACCCCATTGCTAGGGTTGCCACAGCCCCCAGTTGCTACAGAGGGGTTAGGGGGCAGCAGGTGGCCTTGCTCAGCTCATCCCCCATCTCCCTCAGCCCTGTCCCAGGCACAACCCACACTGGGGCTGCACAAGGCACCCCCAGGCCACGCTCACCTCTTCTGCTTGTAGGTCAGCATGGCCTCGGAGATGGGCAGCTGGTGAGACAGGCTGGCTCCAGCAATGAACTGGGCAACGCGGCCCGCAATGTCCACAGTGTCTGCAGGCAGAGGGAGCAGTGAGGGCCCTGGGGACAGCTGGGCACCACCAGCCCCAGCAGCCCCACTCCTTACCTGCAGTGGGGGGCTCAGCCCTGCTGAACAGCTCCCGCCACGCTGTGTCCAGGAACAGAGTGCTGTACTTGTTATCCACCGAAGCCAGGTACTTGGCGAGAGGGTGAGAGCCTGTGTGGGGAGAAGAGCATTGTTGGCTCTGGGCAGGGGAGCACAGCATGGTGGAGGGCATCCCGGTGGCCAGTCGAGTGGCAGCTCTCACCCAGTGGCACCAGCAGGAAACGAAGGTAGTTGAGCCAGTCAGGCGTCTTGCTGGCCAGCTGTTCCACGAAGAACCGAAGGACAACACTCAGGTAGCTCTGGTCCCCTGCCACAACTACCTTCACTGGGGGGGGCATGTGGGAGTTACAGTTACAGCTGCCGAAGGGAGAAGAAAAGAGACTGTGACGGACTCCCGTTACGTGCCTAGCACCAGAGCCCTGCTGCTGCCTATTAACAGCTCACGTGGGCTGGAATCTCCTGCTCTCCCCCAGGCCTACACCGGCTCCTATAGCTGCACCCACAGCTCCAGTATCCCACTGAGCCCCAAGGGAACCCAGCGCCCTTCCTGGCAGCCAGAGGGAGCTGCCAGACCAAGCCCAAGCTATACTCACTATCGCTGGATACGGGAGACGGTGGTGTTGAAGGCCGCCTGGATGTCTGCCACTGAGCAGGTGGAAACGACCAGCTGCTTGTGCGCCTGGAGCTGCTCGCTCACATACTGCCAAGGGAGAGGACTTTGGATAAGCACCTGCCCGGGCCCCACTCCCCTTTGGGATGGAGCACAGCACATCCTGGGCTGAGCACTCAAGCATCCCCACATCAGGACAAGAGGCAGAGCGTGGACATGCAGCATGCCTCGACCCAAGGAGTTTTTCTTCTGCCACAAAGCCTGCCTTGGAAACTGTGCTGCTTCCTCTCCCCAGAGCCCAGTGCCAGCAGGGGGAGTGCAGCACCTCACCTGGGGTATCCAACAAAGCCCTGAGCACTGTGGTATGAGCACAAACCAACTGCACAAGGCACGCAGTCTGTCCCTTCTGGGACTTCTCTGGGTGTCATGCTTTGAGGATCCAGCAACATCAGCATATAGCAGATGATGGAGGAAATGGACAGACTTAAGTATGTAGTTCAGTGCTGCAAATGCACTGTGTTCCCCAGGGATGGGCCACGCTCTGGGGAGAGGAGGGCACAGCTGGCCAAGGTCCCTGGACACCCTGCCACAGCTGAGACAAGCCTGTGGGACCCACACACATCCAAGCTCTCCCTCTGCCTCTACTCACCTGCCCCTGCCATTCAGCGACATTCACCAGCACAATGCTCTCTGGAAGCTGCTCATCTGAGACCAGGATCTGGTTCAGCTGATCATAAACAGATTTTCGGGGCACCTAGGACAACATCCCCACCAAGGTTAAACCCAGCAGGGTGCCCCAGCTGTGGGCAGCTGTGACAAAAGGCCCATCGGGGTTCTCAGCAGTCAGGTCACCATCAGGTGAGACGGCACCAGGCCTCACCTGGGTGCTGTGCCACGAGTCCGGGGAGCTCTCGCTGTCCAGGCTGCTGGTGCGGCCACTCTGTCCCTTGGAGCTCTGCCGGTCCTTCACTGAGGTGCTGCGGGGACGCCACAACTGCTTGCTCTCTGCCTTGCTGTGAGCAAGAAGCAGAAGACATGACACCGGGAAGGGGAGATGTCCCATCTCCACCACTGCCCTGCTCACTGCGGGGAGTCGGTGTGAGCTTTCTCAGCAATGGCCCCAGGCCCAGAGCCACCTTACCTGGGTGACACAGCACTGGGGAGCTCAGATTTGGTTCCAGGGCCCAGCTGGGCCAGCCTGTCCACGCTGCTCTCTCTGGTGGCAGCCTCAGGGGGGGCCAGCCGGGGACACGGCTCCTCTGCAGCCAGCTCCTGAGGGCCACACATGGTCATGTTGCGCACACCATGCTCCACATGCCCACGGGGACCCCAATCCAGGATAGATCCCACAGGAGAGCAAAGACTGCAGGGCGTCAGGGCTGCATCTCCTGCAGCCCTATCTCCCGCTCTCGCTCCAGCCGCACATGCTGAACTCACCACCACAGGGACCTCGGCTC